CTCTCTCTCTCTCTCTCTCTCTGGTCTCTCTCCTCTGTCTCTCTCCACTCTCTCTCCTCTCTCTCTCTCTCTCTCTTCTCTCTCTCTCCTCTCTCTCCTCTCTCTCCTCTCTCTCTCTCCTCTCTCTCCTCTCTCTCTCTCTCTCCTCTCTCTCTCTCTCTCTCTCTCTCTCTCTCTCTCTCTCTCTCTCTCTCTCTCTCTCTCTCTCTCTCTCTCTCTCTCTCTCTCTCCTCTCTCTCCTCTCTCTCCTCTCTCTCTCTCTCTCTCTCCTCTCTCTCTCTCTCTCTCTCTCTCTCTCTCTCTCTTCTCTCTCTCTCTTCTCTCTCTCTCTCTCTCTCTCTCTCTCTCTCTCTCTCTCTCTCTCTCTCTCTCTCTCTCTCTCTCTCTCTCTCTCTCTCTCTCTCTCTCTCCTCTCTCTCCTCTCTCTCTCTCTCTCTCTCTCTCTCTCTCTCTCTCTCTCTCTCTCTCTCTCTCTCTCTCTCTCTCTCTCTCTCTCTCTCTCTCTCTCTCTCTCTCTCTCTCTCTCTCTCTCTCTCTCTGTCTCTCTCTCTCTCTCTGTCTCTGTCTCTCTCTCTCTCTCTCTCTCATATATATCACTACCTTACTAACCATTGTTTTACCTTCAATAACTAGGCACTCTTATAATAATACTAGTTTTTATTTAAGCAAACATACATTATATACATATATATATACATAGGATACAAGATTATATGATTCATGTGTAGGGCAACGAGGAATGGTTTTGAACCTTTTCCTCTAGAACACTTGGGTTTAAGCATATTTTTGTGTTAATAATTTTCGAGGTTCGTTTATTAGCTGTGGCGTATATTCCCTTAATAAACCACTTCAACTAATTTTTCGGGAGGCTTCTCGGTTAGGTTTTCCAATTGCAAGAACAATGACAGGTTGGATAACAAGAACTTTTCAAACTAGAGATGCTATACCGATGGTAATATTCTTCAAGACGCTAGTGCTCTCTAGAGTGAAACCCCTCTACTGTTGCACAATGACAGCCCCTTTCAAAATTGGAGAAATTGCTGACCTGGAGAGCTTGCAGAGATCCTTTACTGCTAGAATCCACTCGGTAAAACATCTAAACTATTGAGACCGACCAAAATGCCTAAATCTGTATTCTCTTGAGCGCAGGTGGGAGAGATACATAATAATTTACACGTAGAAAATAGTAGAGGGGCTGGTCCCAAACCTGCACACACAACACCACACGAGACCAAGAACCATGGTAGGGTGTGCAGAATACCCCCGTTGAAGAGCAGAGGTGCAACAGGTACTCTGAGAGAGAACTCTATCAACATCAGAGGCCCGAGACTGTTCAACACGCTTCCACTACACATAAGGGACATAACTGGCCGACCCCTCACAGTGTTCAAGAGAGAACTATCAACATCAGAGGCCCGAGACTGTTCAACACGCTTCCACTACACATAAGGGGCATAACTGGCCGACCCCTCACAGTGTTGAAGAGAGAACTAGATAAACACCCCAAAGGATACCTGATCAATCAGGCTGTGACTTATACGTCAGGTTGTGACCAGCCGCGTCCAACAACCTGGTTGACAAGTCCAGCAACCAAGAGGCCTGGTCGAGGACCGGGCCGCGGGGAAAGCCCCGAAACCAACACGCGGTAACCACAAGGATGGGCTGATCAGTTGAACGTGTTGACTTCAAAGAGTAGAGCAAGTACTCACCTATTTGTGCTTGCGGGGGTTGAGCTCTGGCTCCTTGGTCCCGCCTCTCAACTGTCAATCAACTGATGTACAGGTTCCTGAGCCTACTGGGCTCTATCATATCTACACTTGAAACTGTGTATGGAGTCAGCCTCCACCACATCACTTCCTAATGCATTCCATTTGTCAGCCACAGAGAGTACCCAACTTACACACACGTAGTTGTGATAATACTAAAGATTTAGTAAGATGAAACTGAAGACATCAATCGACAAGCTCTTACTAGTCAAGCCTGGTCCCGGGCCGGGCTGGGGGAGTAGAAGAACTCCCATCCAGGTACAGTCAGTAGTCAGGTAAAATGACGAGTGAATGGCACCTGCTGCACTATTCAAGCCTTATTGTCAGATCTTTAACAGGTACATATTGACGAAGTGTGCACTCTTGGAGTCCTAACGACACTCTAGGACCTCCCCGGGACTGGCCGCAGGAGCCAGCATCTTGCACCTATTTTGCATCTTCACTCTCAGCTGTCTGGAGATGACTCGACAGTTACTCGGGACTTCCTTATGAGCTCTTTCATTCAACTAATTTTAAAATAATAAACACATTGAATGACATTATCGATATCCTCGCAGCGGGGACTACTACTTAATAATTCCTAATCACAAACCAAGCTTTCCCGCAAGTGAACATTAACGTGCGAGTTAGGAATGCATCAACTAGAAAATCAGTTTGAGCAATTAATCACTTGAATTTACAGTTGTACATAGGCTTGGGGACCATCTTTACTACATACAGTCTTGTTGACCAGACCACACACTAGAAGGTGAAGGGACGACGACGTTTCGGTCCGTCCTGGACCATGCAAAAGTCGATTTGAGAATGGTCCAGGACGGACCGAAACGTCGTCGTCCCTTTAGCTTCTAGTGTGTGGTCTGGTCAACTTACTTTAGCCACGTTATTGTGACTCGTCGCCTACATAGTGTCTTCATCACTGTTAATACCAGCAGCACTTAAAGCAAGAGGTATATCTCCTCTGCACAAGAGAGGTAGTAAAGTTTTTTGCCAACAATTACAGACCAATTGCACTAACATCATATATAATAAAGGTTTTTGAAAGGGATTAGGAATCAAATCTCCAGTTTTATGAAAATCAATGAACTTCACAGCCCAGGACAACATGGATTTAGATCGGGAAGATCCTGTCTGTCACAGTTACTCAACCACTGTGACAAAATCACAGAAGCTGCAGAAGAAAAACAAAACAGTATTTACAGACTTTGCAAAGGCATTCGACGACTGTGAGCATGAAGTGCTAGCTCATAAATTGAGATCAATAGGATTAACTGGTAAAATGGGGCTTTGGATTTTCAACTTTTTGTCAAACAAAATGTAATAGTCAATAAAATACAATCAAGTCCAAGTGCAGTGAAAAGCTCTGTACCCTTAGGCAGAACTCTTGCACCACTGCTCTTTCTCATTCTTATCTCAGATATAGACAAAAATACTAGTCACAGCTTCGTGTCTTTTTTTGCAGATAATACAAAAATCAGCATGAAAACTTCTTTGTAGAAGACACTGGAAACTACAAGCCCCCCATAAATATTGTCTTCGATTGGGTAACGGAAAACATGATGTTTAATGGTGATAAGTTCCAGGTACTTAGTTTAGTTATGGTGGAAATGAGGAACTTAAAACGAAATACAGAGTATTTCGTTTAAGACACAATCGGACTTAGTCATAGAAGGAAAGCAACATGTAAAAGATCTGGGAATTATGATGTCTGACGACCTCACATTTAATGAACATAACGAGCAAATATGGCGGCGGCCAGGAAAATGATAGGATGGATTATGAGTGTTCAAATCCAGGGACCCCACAGCAATGCTAATACTATTTAAATCACTGGTGCTGTTCCCTTTCTGGAGTACTGCTCAGAACTCGCTTCCCCTGTCAAAGCAACCGAGAGATAATTCTCTGGATAAGTATTCCCTCTGAATTAGAGGGAATACAGAGAACATATACGGCACGCATAGAAACTGTAAAACATTTAAATTATTGGGACGTCTCAAAGCTCTCAAAATGTACTCTCTGGGAAGGAGACGAAAAAGCTTTCAAATAATATATACATGAAAGCCACTGGAAGGCCAGGTCCCAAATTTGCACAGTAGAATATAAAATACTGGAACGAAAGATACGGAAGGAATTGCAGAATAGAACCAGTGAAGAGTAGAGGTTTCCATTTGCATGCGATGAGTCACAATAACGTGGCTGAAGTATGTTGACCAGACCACACACTAGAAAGTGAAGGGACGACGATGTTTCGGTCCGTCCCTTGAGAATGGTCCGACTTGAGAATGGTCCAGGACGGACCGAAACGTCGCCGTCCCTTCACGCTCTAGTGTGTGGTCTGGTCAACAAGAGCAGAGGTGCCATAGGCACACTGAGAAAGCACTGTCTGAACATCAGAGGACCACAGCTGTTCAACACCATCCCAACAAGCGTTAGTAGAAATATTGCCGGAACAAAGGTGGATGTCTTCAAGATACACTTAAACAGGTTCTTGCAAGAAGTGCCAAACCAACCAGGCTGTAGTGGAGGTTCCAGGGATGATCTTTCCCGCGGCCCGGTCTCCGACCAGGCCTCCTGGTTGGTCGTCTGGTCCACCAGGTTGCCCGATTTAGTCCTATCTTATAATAGTGAATTTGTATTACAATCACTCCTTAATTAAGTGTGGCCTCAGAAACTATATGTCGGAAGTCATTGGGAACGCTGACAGCCGCGTTCACCCAAACTCTACACAACTGTTACAAAGATGTAAATGTTCTTCTTAATGTACAGTGGCCTAGGGAGCCGGTCGGCCGAGCGGACAGCACGCTGGACTTCTGATCCTGTGGTCCTGGGTTCGATCCCAGGCGCCGGCGAGAAACAATGGGCAGAGTTTCTTTCACCCTATGCCCCTGTTACCTAGCAGTAAAAAAGGTACCTGGGGTGTTAGTCAGCTGTCACGGGCTGCTTCCTGGGGGTGGAGGCCTGGTCGAGGACCGGGCCGCGGGGACACTAAAGCCCCGAAATCATCTCAAGATAACCTCAAGATAGATGGTAGGTAATTGGTTGAAAAGTATATTAGAACCCTTAACATTCTCCTGATAATATCCCGTCTAATAGTATCGTTTTATATTACTTCTAATTTGACAGCTTATTATAATGCGGCTTTTTAGGAGTGAATGGCTGTCAGGGAGGAAGGTTAATGTTGACAGTGAAGGAGCAGTAAGTAGAGTCGGCCAGCCGTCCATGGAGGGATGATGAGGATCAGCGGTGCCGGGTGGTTGACAGCGGTGCCGGGTGGGTGACAGCGGTGCCGGGTGGGTGACAGCGGTGCCGGGTGGGTGACAGCGGTGCCGGGTGGATACCGGGTGGGTGACAGCGGTGCCGGGTGGATGACAGCGGTGCCGGGTGGATGACAGCGGTGCCGGGTGGATGATAGCGGTGCCGGGTGGATGACAGCGGTGCCGGGTGGGTGACAGCGGTGCCGGGTGGATACCGGGGGTGGGTGACAGCGGTGCCGGGTGGATACCGGGTGGGTGACAGCGGTGCCGGGTGGATGACAGCGGTGCGGTGTGGGTGACAGCGGTGCCGGGTGGATGACAGCGGTGCCGGGTGGATGACAGCGGTGCCGGGTGGGTGACAGCGGTGCCGGGTGGATACCGGGTGGGTGACAGCGGTGCCGGGTGGATGACAGCGGTGCCGGGTGGGTGACAGCGGTGCCGGGTGGATGACAGCGGTGCCGGGTGGATGACAGCGGTGCCGGGTGGATGACAGCGGTGCCGGGTGGATGACAGCGGTGCCGGGTGGATGACAGCGGTGCCGGGTGGATGACAGCGGTGCCGGGTGGGTGACAGCGGTGCCGGGTGGGTGACAGCGGTGCCGGGAGGGTGACGGGTGGGACAGCGGTGCCGGGTGGATGACAGCGGTGCCGGGGTGGATGACAGCGGTGCCGGGTGGATGACAGCGGTGACAGCGGGTGGATGACAGCGGTGCCGGGTGGGTGACAGCGGTGCCGGGTGGGTGACAGCGGTGCCGGGTGGGTGACAGCGGTGCCGGGTGGGTGACAGCGGTGCCGGGTGGGTGACAGCGGTGCCGGGTGGGTGACAGCGGTGCCGGGTGGATACCGGGTGGGTGACAGCGGTGCCGGGTGGGTGACAGCGGTGCCGGGTGGGTGACAGCGGTGCCGGGTGGGTGACAGCGGTGCCGGGTGGGTGACAGCGGTGCCGGGTGGGTGACAGCGGTGCCGGGTGGGTGACAGCGGTGCCGGGTGGGTGACAGCGGTGCCGGGTGGGTGACAGCGGTTGCCGGGTGGATGACAGCGGTGCCGGGTGGGTGACAGCGGTGCCGGGTGGGTGACAGCGGTGCCGGGTGGGTGACAGCGGTGCCGGGTGGGTGACAGCGGTTGCCGGGTGGGTGACAGCGGTGCCGGGTGGATACCGGGTGGGTGACAGCGGTGCCGGGTGGGTGACAGCGGTGCCGGGTGGATACCAGGTGGGTGACAGCGGTGCCGGGTGGGTGACAGCGGTGCCGGGTGGGTGACAGCGGTGCCGGGTGGGTGACAGCGGTGCCGGGTGGGTGACAGCGGTGCCGGGTGGGTGACAGCGGTGCCGGGTGGATGACAGCGGTGCCGGGTGGGTGACAGCGGTGCCGGGTGGATACCGGGTGGGTGACAGCGGTGCCGGGTGGATGACAGCGGTGTCGGGTGGGGGTGAGAGCGGTGCCGGGTGGATACCGGGTGGGTGACAGCGGTGCCGGGTGGATGACAGCGGTGTCGGGTGGGTGACAGCGGTGCCGGGTGGATACGGGTGGGTGACAGCGGTGCCGGGTGGATGACAGCGGTGCCGGGTGGATGACAGCGGTGCCGGGTGGGTGACAGCGGTGCCGGGTGGATACCGGGTGGGTGACAGCGGTGCCGGGTGGAGAGGGTGGATAAGAAGTGTTAAAGGAGGGAAAACAGACCCGGGCGCAGCCGGGTATCCCCCCCCCCCCCCAAACTACACTATGCGGCTCATCTAAACAAAAGCAAGTCTTAAAAAAAATTTCAGGTGAAGACTCGACAAATTACACGACGGTTACCTGTGACGTGCGTGTGACAGGCACGACGGTTACCTGTGACGTGCGTGTGACAGGCACGACGGTTACCTGTGACGTGCGTGTGACAGGCACGACGGTTACCTGTGACGTGCGTGTGACAGGCACGACGGTTACCTGGGACGTGCGTGTGACAGGCACGACGGTTACCTGTGGACGTGCGTGTGACAGGCACGACGGTTACTGTGACGTGCGTGTGACAGGCACGACGGTTACCTGTGACGTGCGTGTGACAGGCACGACGGTTACCTGTGACGTGCGTGTGACAGCACGACGGTTACCTGTGACGTGCGTGTGACAGGCACGACGGTTACCTGTGACGTGCGTGTGACAGGCACGACGGTTACCTGTGACGTGCGTGTGACAGGCACGACGGTTACCTGTGACGTGCGTGTGACAGGCACGACGGTTACCTGTGACGTGCGTGTGACAGGCACGACGGTTACCTGTGACGTGCGTGTGACAGGCACGACGGTTACCTGTGACGTGCGTGTGACAGGCACGACGGTTACCTGTGACGTGCGTGTGACAGGCACGACGGTTACCTGTGACGTGCGTGTGACAGGCACGACGGTTACCTGTGACGTGCGTGTGACAGGCACGACGGTTACCTGTGACGTGCGTGTGACAGGCACGACGGTTACCTGTGACGTGCGTGTGACAGGCACGACGGTACCTGTGACGTGCGTGTGACAGGCACGACGGTTACTGTGACGTGTTGTGTGACAGGCACGACGGTTACCTGTGGACGTGCGTGTGACAGGCACGACGGTTACCTGTGACGTGCGTGTGACAGGCACGACGGTTACCTGTGACGTGGCGTGTGACAGGCACGACGGTTACCTGTGACGTGCGTGTGACAGGCACGGACGGTTACCTGTGACGTGCGTGTGTGACAGGCACGACGGTTACCTGTGACGTGCGTGTGACAGGCACGACGGTTACCTGTGACGTGCGTGTGACAGGCACGACGGTTACCTGTGACGTGCGTGTGACAGGCACGACGGTTACCTGTGACGTGCGTGTGACAGGCACGACGGTACCTGTGACGTGCGGGTGACAGGCACGACGGTTACCTGTGACGTGCGTGTGACAGGCACGACGGTTACCTGTGACGTGCGTGTGACAGGCACGACGGTTACCTGTGACGTGCGTGTGACAGGCACGACGGTTACCTGTGACGTGCGTGTGACAGGCACGACGGTTACCTGTGACGTGCGTGTGACAGGCAGCGATTTTATTGTCTGTCAAGGCGTTGACACCTGCCTGCAGGCAACACCTGTCACCTCAACACCTGTGTACGCCGCCTCGCTTCTCTCCTCTATTGTTGAGCTCCTCTTACCTGCAGAGGACACGATGGCTGAGGAGCCTCGTGGAGGGCGAAGACCCTTCATCCTAGAACGCGAAACCCTTAAGGGATCAATAATAAATAAATGTAAATAAATAGGTTATTTAGGCACAAGTACACGCAGATTGAGTTACCAGCAGAATAGTGGATTTCTAGATGGAACTATTATATATATATATACTATGTTTATGGCTTGTTCCGGTGCCCGAAACTGCACCACTAGTGAATGTAACAACCCCCCCTTCCCTTCCCTTCCCTTCCCTTCTCTTTCTTCCCCTCTCACACCTTCCTTCCTTTATTCGTCCTTTTCCTCCTTCACGGAGGAAGAGGGCGACAGTACCTCGCTCTAAAACTTAATCCATATTTAGTGGGAAGGGCACAGTTTAGTGAGCGTGGTGGTGCCAGGGTTGGCACAGGAGGCGGTGGTTCTCATGCGAGGCGGCACCATTGTTTGCTGATGTGTGTGTCAGATAACGTAGCGGCTCCCTTTGTTTTTCCCCCCATTAATCAAGCAAGGGCTTGTAAATCAAATCATGGGTGTACATGGTCTGTTCTGGATCGTGAAGGGGGAGTTGCTTGGTTCAGTATGTGTGGGGGTGGGGGGCGGTTGGGTAAGTGCCAATATACATAAAGTAGAAACACACTGCTAAGTTTTTATTGTACTTGTAACGACGGCTGCCCCTCTAACGAGCCTAGCCTGAGGGCTGGTTACTATGATAGTCTTCATTCTGGTTCGGAGGTGGTAGTTACGTTGGTTACAATTTTCATGTTGGTATATGTTAAATGTTTTCAATTTGTGTTCGCAATTTCTACAAGGGTTGTGCTTTTTCTCTTGAGTTCCCTGTGTAATGGTCGCGTGGCCTTTATTAATGGTATGCTTCTTATGTAGAGTACTGTCGTTTTTGTCCTGACTCTTGATCTGGAATGTTCATGGATCATGGTTCATGGTTCATGGTTCATGGTTCATGGATCATGGTTCATGGATCATGGTTCATGGTTCATGGACCTGGCATTTGTTCATAGAGCCTCACGTGTTCTGTGTGTGTACTCCCCTAGTTGTGCTTGCGGGGGTTAAGCTCTGGCTCTTTGGTCCCGCCTCTCAACCGTCAATCAACAGGTGTACAGGTTCCTGAGCCTACTGGGCTCTATCATGTCTTACACTTGAAACTGTGTATGGAGTCAGCCTCCACCACATCACTTGCTAGTGCATTCCATTTGTCCACCACTCTGACACTAAAAAAGTTCTTTCTAATATCTCTGTGGCTCATTTGGGCACTCAGTTTCCACCTGTGTCCCCTTGTGTTAAATAACCTGTCTTTATCTACCGTATATGTGTGTGTGTGTGACCAACATGCTATGGTTGTGAGTGTGTTGTTGTTATTTGTGTGTGTGTGTGTGTGTCTGTGTGTGTGTTGAGTGCTGTAAGATATTCTTTTGTGTGTGCGTTTCTCCGGTTTTCTTTCTCACTCGTTTCGAACAAAGACACAAACTATAGTACCGAATCATCCTTTGCAGCCAACACTAGGATTTACATGAATACACAACATAGAGGACACGGCAAACTTCCAATCTGATGTTCATCAGGTCTTTCAATGAGCCACAGATGATAATATGATTAATGAACACAACTTCCAGCTCTTGCGCTATGATAAAAAGGAAAATATAAAAACGGAAACTCCCGTATAAAATGCAGTCAGATCATACTACAGAAAGAAAATGTGAAGGATCTGAGAGTACTTGTGTCGGAAGACCTTACCTTTAAAGAACATAATAAAGTAGCTGTCATAACAGCAAGAAAAATGACAGGTTGGATAACAAGAACTTTTCGAGCATGGGATGACATACCAGTGATGATAATTTTCAAGACGCTAGTGCTCTCTAGTGGAATATTGTTGCATAGTAACAGCCCATTTAAAGCTGGAGAAATTACTAACCTGGAGAGCGTGCAGAGATTCTTTACTGCCAGAATCCATTCAATAAAACATCTAAAATATTGGGACCGATTAAATTTGTTTAATCTGTATTCTCTAGAGCGCAGGCGGGAGAGAGAATAATTTACACGTGGAAGATATTAGAGGGGCTGGTCCTAAATTTGCACACACAAATAACACCACATGAGACTAGAAGGCATGGCAGGATGTGCAGAATACTCCCATTGAAAAGCAGAGGTGCCATAGATTCTCTGAAAGAGAATTCTATCAACATCAGAAGCCCGAGACTGTTCAACACGCTTCCACTACACATAAGGGGCAGTGTGTGTGTGTACTCGCCTAATTGTGCTTGCCTTGGTTGAGCTCTGGCTCTTTGGTCCTGCCTCTCAACTGTTAATCAACTGGTGTTGTCACGTGGGGGTGGGCCGGGGCTCTGCTAGCACTCGGCTGCTAGGGGCTCAAAAGGCCGAATACTCAGCCCCTCTGACTTCCGGGATTCACCGGAGTCTCCTTGGTCACACATGAGAGGACCAACAATGCCCACCTCCGCAGGTCTTTGCTTCCACCACAAAAGGGGGGTGCCACTGATTCACCCTGGAAGCCCTTCAGTCAAACACGGGGAAACTGCTGTTAACAGTTCCGGCCTAGACCCGTGGAGGAGTGAAGGAAGACTCAGGCTTACCTTATAACCATAACCTCCCTGAGTCTTGCCTGCCAGACAAAAAGGTTGCAGGAACTCCTTTCCCGCCTGTCTTCTCTATCTTCTTCTTAACAAGGTCGCCAGCTGGGTTATTGTATCTGCACCCCAGCAATGCAGTTCAGTGGGTGTATTATATATTGTTTGTAGCCCGAAGATTGCTACTCCCATAGATCTGCTACTAGACTGTCGGCCCAAGGTCTGTGTGGCTTTACCTCTCTCTAGCCACTACGTTACTAATTGCCACCATTCAGGCACTGATACTGATCGGATGGCTAAGGGTACACTTTTATATAGGTCCGTGCTGTCTTTACCACTCTCCAGGCAATAAGAACTTCTATAAGAACGTAGTGTTTCCTAGGTGGTACTATGATAACCTTCGTGTATGCTCATAGAGAAATATTATAAATGGAGGCACACTTAAACACAATGATAAAAGTGTGAATTTACTGATGCAAATTACATGATCACACATACAATCATAAGTAATACATGAATATGAAAATAAGGATAATAAGTCTGGAGATCGTCAGCCTCTTCTTCCACGACCTCCAACCTCCTTCAACTGGGCAGAAAGACAGGAGTCCCACACTCTCTCACAGGAGGGCCTCTTCACCACGTCGGCGCCTCTTCTTCACTGTCCTGCCATCCATACACACTGTCCCCTCTGACAGTCCTGGACACAAGCTGCCTTGCAGCCTATTCTACTACTAAAGTATTAATGTCCTGTTGCCACATACATAAGTAAATATTGTGGCCTAACTAGTCTACTCATACAAGGGGTAATGGGAGGGAAAATGATCTACCTTACATTCCTGGCTCACGACGCCTGTCCCTCGATGGTGTGAGGTTCCCACGCTTCCTGAGTCGATCCTTGACGATCCAGGAACGTTCCACAGGTCCTCAAGTGTCATGGAGCCTTCGCGTCGTCGCCGTTCCAATCCCTGAGATTCAGCTACCCCAATCCTGGTTCATCGATGGGTGCTGAGCTAATCACTATTTTCCCACACTCGCCCCTTCCACAAGGCGTTGCTCCTTGTCCTAGGAACGGTGTCGTCCTTCCAAAACCCTCAGTGGATGTGACCCGGTCACAGCTAGGCTTGCCCGCCACACCTTTTCAGGCCCTCAACGTCCAGCGTCGTTGCCGAATATTTTCCAAGTTTGGCACTCTTTCGCTCAATAAACTTGGTTCCTTTTTGCTTCCCAGAAGTGCGGGGTCTCCAATACATCAGATGGGCTGCGATAGCCAGCACTAATCCACTAAGAAAGGCTTGTAGAGCCTCTAATTCTTGAGAGCTGACCGAGGTGCGTCCTCTCGCTTCCAAGGTCAGGTCAACTCTGACGTTGGCGCCGCCCCGGGACACTCGGTGACGTCACGGCGGGCCCTGATTGGTCGTCCGCGACCTAAGTCGGCCAATCCGCGATCGGCTAATGTCCCTTCCAAAACGTCATATCTGCAGTAGGGGATACTCTTTCATTTTATATCAGGGCGCCAATTTCCCCTTACTTACAACTTATAATGTAACGTTCTCCCTTAACTGGCAGCCGGTCTGGTCGCCACATATATCAATAGACTCCCTGAACCTCAGAGAATCAGTAGGGAGAGCTGATATGGCTCTTTAAGCCGGCAAACGAAAGAAATAGGAGAGGGCACCGTAACAGTGTATAGGTTCCTGAGCCTACTGGGCTCTATCATATCTACATTTGAAACTGTGTATGGAGTCAGCCTCCACCACATGACTGCCTAACGCATTCCATCCGTTAACTACTCTTGACACTGAAAATGGTTCTTTCTAACTGTTACAGCTCGTCCACACTGCTTGTTGCTCTACAGGGGTAAGTAATGACAATGGGCTAAAGGAAATAAATAATAATTCGTCTCTTAATGTGCAACCAGAATGTCAAATAAGTCCGTCACAAACTTAAATAATTCTTACAGGTTATAAGAAAAAAAACATGTATATAAATAATTTGTATAATATAAATTATATATCAAAATAATATTATCATTCAGGTATAACAGTTAACCAGATGGCCTACTAAGGTATTATAATAAAGAATGCTCACCAGAATAAAATGAACTACTAAGACAAAATACAAAAACAATACAGCAGACTTATCAGACCAGGTAACTCCAATGGCAGCTTCCAGATACTAACTCAAAACTGTCGTGTGAGCCCAACTCCCCCTCCCACAAAATGACAAATGGAAAATTTATGTAATTTTAATTTATTTAATTGTGCAACGAATTCGTGCTAATACAAATATAAGAACCACTTAAATATGAATGGTCAGGTTAACATGAATAAACAGAGGTAACATATTTTACATAAAACAAATAAATGTATAGAGAATAATAAAGAGGAAAGAACTGGCAACTACACAACTGAACAGGATCAAAATTTATGATCCCGAAAC